TCTATAGTAGTGTAGGGTTTGACCCGATCAATAGACAACTAATAAAATAATACATAAAAAATCAAGTAGAACATGCAACCAAATAAAGATAGAGTGAGCTAGAATCTACCCCGAGCATGAATACCCATGGCACATGTATATATGTTCGTCATCTCATATACACATCATCCCCGTATGTAGCAAATAATAACAATTAGTAGGAAAAATTCCTTAAACCAAATTTAGGCAAGATACTTATCTCAAACAAGTCAAACAGATACTCTAGAAGCGTCATCCCACATGAATCGACCTCTGAATAGCTCGAAACTAGCCAAAAGCAATTTAAAAACATCAAATAATACCATAGGAATCAAACTCAAACGATAAAGGTCAAATCTTTAATCAAATACTCAAAGTAAACCAAAGTGTCAATCTGGGTTCTCACCCTGAAACTCGACAAAACTCACAAATCCCGAATACATATTCAAATACGAGTCCAAATATATAATTGATTTTCAAATCCAACCTCAATTTCATGTTCAAAACCCCAAAATTCATTCTCTTAAGTTCAAGTCAAAAACCCTCGATTTCTTCTCTTCAAATCCTTGATTTAGGTGTAATAACCCATGAAAAAAAATAAAATATATAATCAAAATAATGATAAAGTTACTTACCCTCATGATTTGGGTGTTTATATCCTCCAACATCGCCTTACTTGTGCTCTAAGAACTCAAAAAAATAAGAAAATAAACTCAAAATCCCGAAATTAGACGTAGCTTTGCTAGTCGTTCTCCTTCACTATTACGGTCACCAATCTCGCGATCGCGGTTCACAAAATGTCCAGCATGATTTTACCCTTCGCGATCGCGGCCAAGAAGCACCGCGATCGTGATGACCAAACTTGTGAAATACTTGCCCAACTCTTCCCAAACAGCCTCTACAATGGCCATAACTTTTTGTACAAAGTTTCAAATAATAAACGATTTGATTTTCAGAAAATTAGACACAAAGGGAAACAACTTTTATTTTGGGATCACCTCAAAATTCCTTATAAATTGCAAGATATAAGCTCCCGAAGTCAGCCCAGTAACAACAAATATTTCTTCTTTGTGATCGTGAACAGTCCCTCCACGATTCACAATTCCATAAATGCATTTTACTCTTCGCAAACGCGGCCTAGAGCCCCGCGATCGGGATGTACACACCTATAGCCAAAAATTAGTAGTTAAAATGGGCCTAAAAATAGTCCAAAACCACCCTGAGACTCACCCAAGCCCCTCGATCCCGTCAAATCATGCTAACAAGTCCATATATATAATCCAAACTTATCCAAAGGCTCGAAACATCACAAATAACATCAAAACCAAGAATCAAAGGTCAAGATCATTTTCTTAACTTTCAAACCGTCAACTTCACCCAACGAATCTGAATCCTATCAAATTAACTCGAAACAAAATCAAACTTTGCATACAAGTTTCAAATGACAAAATAGACATCTTCCAAGTCCCGGAATAACAATCTGAACCCGATAGCCAAAAAGTAAACTCACGGTCAAACTTATAAAATTTTTAAACTTTCAAATTTTCAACTTTTGCCAAATAAAGCAAAATCAACCTAGGAGCCTTCAAATCTAAATCCGGATATAAGCCTAAATCCAAAATTATCATATGAACCTATTGAAACCATCAAAACACGAGTGTTTACTCACAAGTCAAACCTTGGTCAACTCATCCAACTTAAAACTTCTAAATTGAGAATTACTCTTCCAAATCAATCCGGAACTTTTTGAAAATCAAAACTAACTATGCTTGCAAGTTGTAATACATCATATGAAGCTAATCAAGACTTCAAACTACCAAACAGAATGTGAATACCCGAAACGACCGGTCGGCTCGTTACATTTCTTCCGTATATAGTTTAATGCAACATGAAACTGCTATAGTATATTATATAATGTAATACTATATTGTCACAATTTTATTCTTTTTTTGTAACCTTTTTGAAATTTCAAACCCAAACCTTTTAAAAAATTTCAACGTAGTTCTCATATTTTTTTCGATTCATTTCTTAAACAAGATATTTGATGGAGTTTTATTGAGATATAATTCACTACACCAAAAGTTGATGCAAGAGTTCACATACAATAATATCGTTTCGGTATACTATTACCTTAGACACTAATATATCATTTTATTATATTGATATTTATTTTATTATGGTGATATATTATTTTGATATACAATATGCTAGAAACACCTACAGTAATACACATATCAAAAATAAAGAAAAAGATATATTAAATAAGTTATTTTCTGATGATTGGTATAGAGAAAATGAAAAAAAAATGTTTGCTGTATCAGTTATTTGTTTTTATTGATATAGAAGAAAAAAACGGAACCGAAAAAGTGAATGAAATCAGATTAGGAAGAAAAAGAGAAAATAAAATAAATGATTTGGGGAGAATTATAGGGGTGGCAAATAAGAGGGTTGAGCTGAATTTAGGCGGGTCAAGATGGGTTAGGTCAATAAATGGGTCATTGCCCAACCGAGCTCAAAGTGTACTTGGGCTAAGATGTGCTGGGTCAAGATGGACTAAACAATGAGTCATAACCCAACCTGCTCAACTTGACCCATGTTTTAGAATCATGTTCATCTTGCATAAAAAAACCTTTTACCTTAAAATGTGTAAGTTGAAAAATATTTTGCAGGTGGGGGTTGGGGATGGGGGGAGGGTTGGGGTGAGTGGGTGGTGTAAAAAAACAAAAGAACAGAAAATTGAAAATATAAAAAAAAAAATGGGGCAACTAAGTGAATTTCTAGATAAGTTGCGTTGAGATCTCTTTGTTTTTGGTGAGTTTCATGGGTTGTATTTGGGCTGCTTAATGAGTCAGAATGAGCTATAAAAATTAGGAATTTTTACCTCTTATAGCAAAGGTTAACATCTTATTTATTTTAAATAAATACCATTTAAAAAAATTATATTCTATAGATACCTTTTAAGGTTTATAGCAAAATATTTAATTTTGGTTACCTCCCAGCCCTAAGCCACTAAATACATTATTCAGTTACACTATTTTCTTTCTCTCTCTACTTTGATACATCCCATTCTCTTTCTCCATTCCCTGAAAACACGATGCTCAATCTCAAAATTCCTCTCACCAATTCAAAGTTGTCGCTATGCCTGGCCCAGTCTCGAACAAGCATCGGATTTTAGAGCAGTTCCGGTGTAACAATGGTGGAAGAAAATTTGTGTATACACACGTTCGTCGAAATTCCGTCACCGGAGATATTCTCTTCTCAAATTGAACCCAAAAATGTCCCAGCGATGACTTCTCTAATTGAGAAAATATACCTATAGCGTATATAAACACAATACTATATTTGTGCGGATGTGCTCAACAATGTTTTCTTTTTGTTGGGTTTAGGTTTTCAAGGGATGCATAAAGCATTGGAAGGCTTTCTCAAAATGGAACCCGTCGAACGGTTGCCTAATACAAAAAAGGCTAATCTTTTAAATCAAATTAGAAGCCCTGGTATTCAATTAATCGCGATGAGAAGAAGATTTCTGTTAATATATTTTAATGTATTTTCAACGTATCACGTTGTATTTTCATGTATTTCATTGAATTTATTGTCTTTTTTTTCCATTGTAATTTAATGTATCTTGATGTATTCCATGTATTTCATGTATTCACTGTCTTTTTTTCCATTGTATTTCAATGTATCCTGCTGTATTTTATGTATTTCATTTGTATTCACTGTCTCGTTATATGCCATGAATGTATTCATATGTTTTTTAAAATTAATATAATTTATGTATTCAGATGTATTATATAATTTTTCTGAAGATTGTTATATTTTTGGAGTGTTTTTCGGTTGAGAATCTTTTTTATAATGGAAAATACAAAATTTGTGTGTTATAATTGAGTTATATTAGGAGTCTATTATGTTAATTGATTCACTTTCTGTTTAAAAACAGTGTATTCCCCTATTTCACGCCGTAATACAGCCGAATACAATCGAATACAATAATTTGTCCAGCTGTAATCCCATGTTTCACGCCATGAATACAGTCGAATACAGTCGAAAACAACAACTGATTAACTTGACTTCCCTGATCCACGCCTATTTTTGCTATTGTATTCATGAATACAATAGCTTAAATACATCAAACACATCTTATAACCACAGAAAAGGTATCTATAATCCATATTATAGCAAATGATATCTATAGATGACTAATTACTACTAAAAGATAATGCTTTATGAAAATTTCCCTAAAAAATAATGTGTTAACTTGGGTCTAGCCTTAATTGACCCATGAGCTAAAATGTTTGTAGCCCAACCCATTAATCTCTAGGCGGGTTGGGCAAATTGGGCGGATTTGAGTTCAAATTGCCTCCCCTATGGAAAAATAATGGAATTCGAAAAGGGAAAAAAAGAAAAGGAGAAAAGAGTTGTGGTGCCGCATCAGTATTCTTCAATGGCTGGCTGATATTCGATGATAGAATGTGTAAGCATTTTGATTCAGACGGTGTGTACTATTCCGAGAACCCAAATTCTGGGTAAATAATTTGGTTTATGTAGCGCTCCTAATTGTTTTGGGTTGTATAGGTATTTGTGAATTTATCCAAAAATTTAAATTTGCAACCGAATTATTCGATTCAATGGATAATTATTTTGGGTGCCATTTATTGCACATACTATTCTTTATTATAGGTGGTGTTGGAATATTCTTTCAGCTTCTTTGGTGTTGGATTATGATGCTGTTGTTAAACTAGCAATCTTGCACTTCTGCTGAATTGAGAATTGGTAATGAAGTTCACAGTCATTTTCGTCTCGTGGAGTTATAACTTTGGTTTAGATATGCTCTTTCAAAACAAAGGATTGTGCTCTTTCTATTTGCTCTTAATGGAGCTGCTTGCTTAATGATCCGGAAGCGGATCTAGAGTCAGTGGATTTAGAAAATGCGATTTTCTAATTAATGTGTTTGCATTTATTTTTGGTACATGTGTACACAATTCGAGCCTAAAGTAATGAGTTTGATTGAACCATAGAACCTGTCCTAAATCCGCCTCTCCTTAATAACATGTCTGCAGTAGGACAAATGAATCCGTGTTGCAGTCAACAAGGTACAATCTCTTTTGTGCTATCAAAATCATGCTGATATAATTAAAGATGGAGATTGCGAAAGTAGTCAGCCTTAAAGTGATTTTTTGCTGCTCTTCAAACGCTAATATACTTTTAGCACAAAAGAAATTGAGTTTCTGGATAAGTCAGCAAATTACTTCTTTGAAAAAACAGCTGCAGATTTTGTTCTCCTTGAAAATTTGTACATCACCATCCTCACAATCTTGTAGAACCAGTAAGCACTGACAAGTTGCAGCCCCAAAGCCATGGCCTAGAAATTTCAAGAACATTAATTGTTATTCTAATATAAAATGTTTGTAGGGGACATTTGATCCTAAATTTGTGTGGAAAATACAGCGTAGAACATTACCTTTATGAGGATTGGATTATCAGCAGAAAGAGTAACATAGGCAAGATATGGCCCCCCTATCATCCTAGCAATGCTGAAGATGACTGCAAACAAAACCTGCAAAACATCAATCTTGGCTTTACTAGTAGTTAAGTTGTCGGACTCGGGTGCGGGTATCTAATACAGGTGCGGATCCAGAGATCGGATCCTTCATGATCTAAATTTTAAGAGCGTACGGATATGGGCGCGGAGATTTAGCTAAGAATAATTCAAATATCTAAAAATAGAGTTACAAAAATACATCCAAATTATGAGATATTATGTGGAAAATTTATAAGGTATCCTGAGAAGGAGAAAATGTTAATTAAGAGGAGAATCCGAGCAATAGATAAAAGGAAAAGGACTGACATAGAAATTTCCATATACAAGGTATTTTATTTTCGTCACCCTAGCTTTTGTTTTGATTTCAGAATTCAATGTCTATGTCCCAAATTTCTCCAACAAAGTTAAAGTACCCAAAATTGGTTGATTAGACCCTGTACGGATCCAGATCCACACCCACGTCGTGTTGACACAAGTCGGCACCGAAAGTGAACAGTCTGAGCAACCTAGGCTAGTAGTGTGCTTGTGACCATATTGGAGGATAAAACTTTCATGGTTCAGTTTTGAGGCGAATTTATGAATTAGAGTCAGTGGGTTCAAAATGACTATTATCTTATTATATACATATATACATTTTCAATAAAATTAAAATGTAAATGCAGATGAATTAAAATTTGAGAAACTAACATCAGCTGCAAAGTTAAGGTCAGTGTCTCTGTATCCAAGTTCTTTGAGAAGCTCCCTCAGATGGAGGAATGGACTAGAAATTTCTGTTATCCATAGCGTCGCAACCATTTCTGAACCACACTGCAATAGGGGAGTAAACATTTGGTACTTAAAACCAATTAATTAAAAACGGAATTGTAATTAGGATAAGATAGTCTTATTAATTACCCGTTCATAAGCATGGCCAGCTCCAATTCCAACAACACACACCAAATGGTGAATTAAGTTATCAATCTTCACATTCTTGTCAAAGAGGCAACATCCAAAATCATAAATAAGATAGGCCGCTGTTACTGCAAGTGCCCTCATCTGTTTGATTTTTCCCAAGAGTCATATTTAGAGTTAAACGAAGAATTAAGATAAAAAAATATGCTCAACAGTGTGGCCTAACGGTTGATGAAAGTCATGAGATACTGGAGTTCAAATCCCAATAGAGGCAAAAACCGCAAGTTGATTCTTTTGTCTGCCTAAGAGCCCGTTTGGATTAGCTAATTGTAAATAGCTGATAAGCTTGAAGTGCTGAAACTTATTTTTAAAATAAGCATTTATCTGTTTGAATAGAAGTGATGAAACTGATAATAAGCAGTTATAAAAGTGCTGATAAGCTATTTTTTTGTTAAAGTGACTAAAATACTCTTAAATTTTTCAAAAGATTATAAATTAAAAATTTTCTTTGTGAAGAAAAGAATTAATAACAAATATGGAACGAAGAGAAAGTCAGAAAATTTATTTTGGAAAAAGTATTTTGTGAATTAAAAAATATTATTAAGGATAAACAAGTAAAAATATTGGTCAAACTAGAAAAGCCATAAGTTGGAAACTTGGGGGTGACCAACTTATGACTTATAGCTGATTTTAGTTTATAAGCACTTGGCTTATAAGCACTTTGAGTATTTACCAAACGCGTAGATAAGTCAAAAGGTGCTTATACGCCAGTTTGACCAACTTATAAGCTTAGTCAAACACGCTCTAAGTCTAAGTGGGCAGAATTATTAGTAGTCATGCTAGTGGGAGGTAACAGGTACCCAATGAATTTGTTAATACGTGCAAACTAACCTAAACATCACCGTAACAAACGAATTAAAATTAGAAAATAGAAAATATACCTGCTTGGGAGAAGATTTTGAGGCCACGGGACAGAGTGGGCAGCTCCAATCTTGAACAGAGAGGGAAGCCAAAGTTACTGCTAAAGATGCATGGACTGTGGAAACCAAACGGTTGCAGAAATCAAAAGAACGTTTTGGAAACACCTTTCTTATTAACAGAAAGAGTGTAGTCCACGATATTACTCCTAATAAGACAACATTTATTATTGAATCTTCCATCTACACCTCTGTTTCTTCCTTCTAGTTCAAAATAAGAAATCAGAAGTACCAATTATTTTTCCACAATAGCAAGGGAAACTAGAAGAGGAAAGTAGGTATGCAACAATTAAAATTGCATTAATGTTTTTCAAAGTGACAGAGATAGGGTAGTTGAAAAAGTTAACCAAGTAGTTGGAGTTCATTATATCACAATGGTTTCATGATTTTTTCAGTGTAAGGCCCCGCCCTTATTTCTACATTTATTTTGTACATGCTTTTTCCATGTGTTTTTACAATATGAAATGCATGTATAAATGATGAACTAAGTTTAGTACTATATATGTAAAGGTAAGCATCTATCATAAGTGAAAATAGTAACCTAGAAATATAATTAGAAAGACAGAAAATGCACCCCGGTTTGTGAGCTAACGCCATCATAAGCCAGGGCATTTCATCAAAGACTGTCCACTTCTAAAACAGGATCAATACAAACTAAACCCTGACAAAGCAGCAAAAAGGAACCCAGTTCCAGACAAACGATTTAGTCAAAAAAGTGCAACTGACAATATTGTGAAGCAGGCTCTTGCTGCTTGGGGAGACTCCTCCAGTGAATCAGAAAGGGAACCAGATGCAAAAAACAGCTCCATGATGGTAGTGGAAACTGAAGCAATGAAATATGACTCACTGTTTGCACTGATGGCTCAGTCTGACGATGATGAAGAGGATGAAAATGATGAGGTAAATTTCAGGGATGTTCAGAGAAATCTGAAATCCTACTCTTCTAAAAAGTTAAGGTCATTAGCAAATGTTCTAATTGATGCATATTATAGCCTTGTTAATGATAAGGAGATCTTGACCATAGAGCTAGGAGATGCTGAACAATCTAGAGATGATCTGGTAGTCTATGTAGTGGATCTAAATGAGACCATAGCTAATCTTGAAAAAGAAAAGGAAGTTTTGAATGAAAAAATAAATAGTGTATAAAATGAGAGAGATGACCTTATGGTAGTGGTTGTTGATTTGAAGGAAACCATAGAAGGCTTTAGCAATGAAAAACACACTCTAGAACAGAAAGTTGCAGTTACTGAGCAAGAGAGGTGACTTTTTAGTGATAATTACTGACCTAGAGGAAACCATTGAGGGACTCAAATCAGAACATAAGGCTGTGAGTATTCGGAAAGGGAAGTAAGTAGCTAGTGAGACACGCATCAAGCTTGAGAAGGAATTAAGTGATGTGAAAACTAGTTTATGTGGTGAACTTGAGAAAAATAGGTAACTTCAAACTGAATTGGAGAAAGTAAAAATTGATCTTGAGAAATCTCTAAAGTGGACCTGGTCCTCAGATACTGTCACTGCCATGTACTTCAACAATAGTGGAAATAGGCAGGGAATCGGGTTCCAAAAGGAGAAAACTCCTTATAACCCTCACAGCAAGTACGTCACTGTTCCTGATAACTCGTTTTATACCCACTGTGGGAATAATGGGCACTTCAAAGAAATTGCCAGGTCAGGGTTCAATCTGTTCAGAAAACAAAGTGTTTACTAAAAAGTGACTACTAAAGAGGGACTAGGTACCGCTCGTAAGAAACAAATATTGTCTGCATGAATTAGAAAAGCCCTTATCTATCCATTTTCTCATAACAAGGGACCCAAACTAGTTTGGGTTCCTAAATCTAACCCATGATTTATATGTGCAGCGAACAGTGAGAGGAAGTGGACTACAATAGTTCATGATTAGTGGATGCTAAAAGCACATGACTAGAAACACCATGGACTGACTCTCACTGAAAGCCCTGCAGAAAAGGGAATGTATCCTGTGTATATATATAAAAAAAGGGGGTACATTCTCGATGTTGGAAAAGATGGAAAGTCTCTGTTATACTTAATTGAGAACGTGTGCCATGTGAATTGCCTGAAGCACAGTCTCTTGAGTGTGTCTCAAATCTGTGATAAAGGGAGCAAAGTAGATTTCTTATCAAAAATGCGTACAGTTACCAATCTGGTAACTGGTGAAGTGGTCTTAGTCGCCAAAAGAACAAGAACATCTACTTCTCTAACTTTAAATCCTTACAAACTGGTGATATGAGCTGCTTGAAGGCAGTCGACAATGATGTAAAACCTTGGCATAAAGGATTGGAACACTCAAGACTCTCACTTCTGAGTGAACTGATTTAGAAGAACCTGATTCGTGGGCTGCCAAAGTCAAGATCCACCTGGACACTGTTAGAGCAAAGGAAGAGACTTTTGAGGTATTTGCGACACTTGTTAGGAAGATCCAAGTGGAGATGGACTTGAAGGAAGCACGTATCAGATCTGACCACGGGATAGAATATGTCAATGCCAAAATTTAATGAGTCTTTAAATGAAAAAGGTATCACTCACAACTTCTCAGCACCAATGACTCTATAGCTAAATGGTGTTATTGAAAGGAAGATCAAAACTCTGGAAGACATGAAATAGATAATGCTCATTGACAAGGAATTGCCAAAAAAACAATTGGGGGCAGAAGCAATAAACGATGCTTGCTACTTGGTGAACAGGTGTATGATCAGGTCCCTCCTAAACAAAACCTCCTATGAGTTGCTCAATGAAAGAAAACCAAAGATAACTCATCTTAGAACCTTTGGATGCAAATGCTATTTTCTCAACAACAGGAAGGACCAACTCGGGAAGGTTGATGTAAGAAGCGATGGAGGAACCCTTCTAGGACACTTCCCTCAAAGCAAAGCCCACAAAGTCTACAACAAAAGGGTACACTATGTGGAAGAAATTTTTCATGTGCTATTCAACGAAACATCATCCTCTAACAAAGGAGGGAACAATGATGATCAATATAATGAACCACTTTTGGTCCCTGAAAAATATCTGATGTTTCAAATGGGAAGGCTGATATGATGAGTTAGATGAAGGAGACAGGTGAAGACAATGCAACATCCTCTTCCACTTCTCAAGAGGAACCTGATACTTCAATTACTACCATTGAAGCTGAAGAAACTATTGGAGATGCAGTGCAAGGTACTCCACAACTAGCAGAACAAGGAGTGCAGGGAAATCTACTTAATTTACCCAGTTTCTCCACTAATCAAACTTCAGTTCCCACTTGGAAACACAAAAGCTCTCATCTTCTTGATAACATAATCACTCCCCTTCATTCTAGATTTAGACAAGAACAAAATCCAAAAATTCCCTAGCCCCTTCTGTATTTTTATTACAGATAGAGCCCAAAATCAAATCCCAAGGAATCTTACTTGAAGGCTGCCAAAAGAAGTTTGAGATACTTTAAGGAAACACAGGACCTGGTTCTGTATTACCCCTCAGTTGAGAGTTTTAATCTAATTGGGTATGCTGATGCTAACTATGCAGGTTATCTTATGGATAGGAAAAAGCACTTCTGGAATGGTTCACTTGCCATGATCATGTCTCATCTCTTGGGGCACAAGGAGGCAAAACTCAGTGGCTCTTTCAATAGCTGAAGAAGAATACATAGCGGGAGCATCCTATTGTGCTCAACTACTATGAATTAAGAAGCAATTGGAGAATTTTGGGGTATTTACTGATGGTGTGCCTCTTCTATGTGACAACACCGGTGCACTTAACTGGGTCAAGAATCCAGTTCAAAACAAAAGGACCAAGCACATTGATGTGAGGCATCATTTTTTGAGGGATAATGTGGAGAAAAGGTTGATCTGTATAAAGTTCTGCAGCACAAAAGACCAAATTCCAGATATCTTCACCAAAGCCTTGAGTAGGGAACATTTTGAAAGAAACAGGGTGAAGCTGGGGTTATTAAAGCCTAATAGAGAACCTGATTCTCCATCAGTTGGCTATGAAAAATCACCTTCAGGTAAAATTGGCTAAAGTATTTTCTGGCCAAACCTAACTCACATCGATACCGTTGCAGGTAAATACATATGACGATCATAGAAGCTAAAGGTACAATTATGAACTGCGAAAGAAGAGCTACTAAAATCTTTTTCAAAAACTGTTCGTGTATCAGGTTTCTATAACACAAGTTAGTAGTAATGTGTTGTTTTGCATGCTTTCTAAAAAAAGGTTAACAAAATTGACTCAACTGCCACATCATCCGACTTTTCAAAATCTGCATGTCATGTCTTGTCTTTCAAATCCCTTCATCTCCTCTGCACGACAACGTTTTCCCTCAAACCTTCCGCCATTTTCAGGACTATTTAGAACCTGTTTCTCTTTCTTCTCATCATTCGCCCTTCTTCCCATAAAACTCTCTTTCTTCTTCACAACAAGCCATGAACCTTCATCTCTTGTGTATCTCTGTGATCTTCTCTTCACTTCTCTTTCACTCAACTTCCCTGTCAAATCCTTCTATAATGGCAATCGAACGATCGCTTCCTTCTCTCATCATTAACACCACTCATACTTCCCTATCATCCTTAAAGTCATTTCCAGAAATTCACTCTTTCACTCTTTCCAATGCTACTATACCCACACCTGTTTCCTCCTCATTTCTTATTGTTCTTCCTTTTCTCTCAAACTCTATCTTCTTTCCATGTGTTGAAAACCCCATGTCTCCTGATTCCTCTAATCTCACCAAAAAACACTCAGGAAGGGTTACTTCTCAGATGTTAGAGGTCTCTGAGGATGATCCTGAAGTATCTGAACTCCTCCCTTTTGGAATCAGTGGCTCTCACAGAGTCACCAGAAAAGGAAGCAGCGCACAATATCATGGCTATCGCTGCTGAGAGTCTGTTAAATGCAAGAACCTATCTCTTGTCTGAGTATCAGGGGGAAGAAACTCTATTCCTAGGCGACGAAAGAACCATGGTACTCTTCGAGTCTTTAATCCATGAAATTATCCCAGAAAAACCTGCTGGAGGACATGATTCTCTTCCAGATAAATCCACTCCTGAACCTCTTGATTATCCTAATCCTCAGAATCCTCTTCCAAGTCACCCCTATCAGGTTGAAGCCGAAAGAGGGCTTTGGATCTACCTTGCAGAAAAGTAAGAGGAGTGTCAAGACAAGAAAGAAGAGGTTGATGAATCAAGGGGAATTTGTGACTGACATGAGCATTCCTGTGGGTGAGATTGACAAAGATGCTCTAAAGGAACCCAGTTCCTTAGTAGAA